ACTACTACTACTACTACTACTACTACTACTACTACTACTACGACTACTACTACCACCACTACCACTATTAACACTACTACCAGTAGTCGCAGGAGTAGGCGGAGGCGTAGTCGTAGTAGTAATTATGGTAGTGGCAGTAGGAGTAGTAGTAGTCGTAGACACATATGTATTCATAGTCGTAGTAACAATAAGAATCACAATCAAAACATTCGTAGTCGTAGAAAATAAAAAATCAGAATAGAAATATTGGCCGTCGCCGTAATAGTAGCCGTAGTCGTAGTCGTAGTCGCAGTCGCAGTCGTAGTAGTAGTAGTAGTAGTAGTAGTAGTAGTAGTAGTAGTAGTAGTAGTAGTAGTAGTAGTAGTAGTAGTAGTAGTAGTAGTAGTAGTAGTAGTAGTAGTAGTAGTAGTAGTAGTAGTAGTAGTAGTAGTAGTAGTAGTAGTAGTAGTAGTAGTAGTAGTAGTAGTAGTAGTAGTAGTAGTAGTAGTAGTAGTAGTAGTAGTAGTAGTAGTAGTAGTAGTAGTAGTAGTAGTAGTAGTAGTAGTAGTAGTAGTAGTAGTAGTAGTAGTAGTAGTAGTAGTAGTAGTAGTAGTGGTAGTAGCGGTAGTAGTAGTAATGGTAGCTGTCGCAGCCGTAGTAGGACTAGTAGTATCAGCAGTAGTACTAGTAATAATAGTGGTAGACAGACGCAAAAGAAGATAGCAATTTCGATTCGAACCTATCCCCCGCGATAAGAAAGTTCGGCCTTGACGACCCTCTCCCCCGATCACCTTTGTCTTGGCCGAAGATATTCAACAACAGAGTGTTAAGGAGGGGGGATGCTTGATTCACCAGGGCACAGGGTTATGTTTACCAAGGGCCGACCACAACAACGTTCAAAGCGAAGTGGCGCTTACAACGAAAGCAGAAGCGACACCCAACGTTCAAAGCGAACGTTCAAAACGAAGCCAGTGCCAAACCAGGGCGAACGACGAAACGGGGCGCTGAAAACCGCAACGAGCAGCGAGACGGCACAACAACCAAAAACGGAACGACAAACAAGACACAAGGGCCCAAACCAGGCTATAAACAGCGACGTGGCCGGCCCTTTTGCTCCTGCCAGGAGCCCGAGAGCGGCAACAGTCCTCGGGGCCCGCTTCCCTCAGGGCCCTTTTCGCCTTCGGGGCGAGTCTCCGCGGGCGCCGCGCTCCAGGGAGTGGTGCGACGAGGGGGGCAGGGGGAGGGGGAGGAGGAGGAGGAGGATCCCGAGCGTGGAGGCTTTTTAAGGAGGCGAGGCGCTGCTCAGAAGGTACGGGCCTTCTTAAAAGGGCCTTGAGGCTTCTACGACGGCTTCTTACAATAGGAGCTCGGCCACGAGAAACCTTCCACAGGAAACCCAACCCTGCGACCCCAGGCCGTCCAGTGGGAACGTCACGCTTCCCATAGCCAGACCATCGAAGCCCGAGAAACCCGGGGCACCCTAGAGGCAAGCAGGGTGCTTCTTGGCATGGGCTTCCACCGCAGAGGCCAGGAGGGGAGGGCCTCTGAGAAGGCCCCCGCCTCCGCAGAAGTCCCACCGCCCTCTCGGGAAGGCCGCCCCTCGCGCTGCCCACCTGACTTGTGCGCGCCGCCGCTGCGCGCGTCGACGGCAGGGGAAGCAATGGGGAGTAGGGTTAAGTCGGGCGTGTCCCCCTACAGGGGGATTTTGGGCGAAAAATGAAAAATACTCAAAAATTGCCTCTCAGGAAAATAGTCAAAAAAACAGCCCCCTGACTATGTTTTGACTATTTTTGAATCGTCCCCCTGTAGAGGGACAGGCCCGACTTGCGAGCAGGGTCATACCGCTACTCCACGGAGCCCTCCTGGGGCACGCTTTGACCAGAATCCCAGCGCGAATCCAGCCGTGGTGACGAGGGGAGGACATACACAGCGGCACCCGCCAAGAACCAATCCGGAGCTCCGCGCGCCGATGTCTCGCATCGTCAGGTCGGGCATGTCCTCCTACGGGCGGATGTTGGACGAAAACGAAAGATCATCAAAACATGCTGAGAGAAATCGTCCCCAAAACTATCTTTAACATATGTTCTGAAGATTCCCCCTGTAGAGGGACATGCCTGATTGAATCGTACACCCTGTGAAATGCTTAAGAAATCATGGGTTAAGAAATTCATAGTCTCAGAACTTGATTAAAAACCGTACATTTCCATTCAAATCTTAGGATTTACATTGAAACGTTAAGAATAATCAAGACTCTGGCAGAAAATTCAAGTTTCTTAAGCATCGCCTAAGGTGTACCGGCGCTGGACACTCCTCCCTGGCGCGCGGAGCGGGCGGCGACGGAGGGGCCGCCACAGGGGGGGCCCCCGAGCCGGTGCAGGAGAGATCCGCGCGGAGCTCCGGCAGCCTGTGATTAACTACGGAGGCGCTCCTGCTGCAAAGGGAGGGCCGCCGTACACCCTGCGAGATGCTTAAGAAATCATGGATTAAGAAATTCATAGTCTCAGAATTTGAGTAGAAAGACCCAGGATTTCGCTTGAAACCTTGGGATTTACCTTGAAACATTAATTAAGAATCCTCGAGACTCTGGCCGAAAATTTAAGTTTTCTTAAGCATCGCCTAGGGTGTACTGGCAGGAGCAGAAAAGACAGCATGAACAGAAGCTTTGGGCGCTCGGCGCAGATTTCTTGGATCTGCGCTGGGCCCCTCCTCCCTGGCGCGCGGAGCGCGCCAGGGGCGGCGCCGAAGGCGCCGCCGGGGGGGCCCAACGCGAATCCAAGAAATCCGCGCGGAGCACCAACAGATTATGCTTATGGCGTTTCTTCTTCTCTTCTTCTTCTTCTTCTTCTTCTTCTTCTTCTTCTTCTTCTTCTTGGAATCGGTAGCTTTTTCTCATCCGAGCTTCCGCTTCCACCTTCTGCGGGAATCGTTGAACGATCGGCCGTGTCCGCAATGGCAGCTTGTTCAGCACCGACCCATTCTGGGTCGCCGGCGGCGTCCAACCTTGGAGGCCGGCAGCGGGGTCGCCGCTGGTCGACACGTCTCGAGTCCACCGTATAGTTTCCTCCTACGAGCCAGCTTTGACGGCGCGCGCAAAGGGGAAGGCTTCTAAGAAGCAGGCTGCTTCTTAGAAGGCGCCAGCCCCACATCTGTAGACAAGACCTGCGCCTTCTGAGAAGCAGGGGTGCTTCTAAGACGCCCCGCAGGCATCGGGCGTCTCGGTTCTTTCGAGACCCAGATCCCCGTCCCGAGTCGTTTTGTTGACGGTCCCGAGGCCCTGAACTCTCAGGGGAACGGACAATGACATAAACATAAAAACTCAGAGGTCCGCGCGGATTTTTCGGATCGGCGCTGACCCCCCTCTTTGGCACGCGAAACGCGCCAGGGGCGGCGCTGGAGGCGCCGCCAGGGGGCCCCAGCGCCGATCCGAGAAGCCCGCGCGGACCTCCGAGTTCTTCTGTTTATGTCTACATCATTCAAGAAAGCCGCGCGGAGCTTCAAAAGCATATGCTTATAGCGTTTTCTCTCCTTCGATGTAAGGGCCCCTGCCCCCCTCCGCGCGTGGCTGACACCCCCCTCCTGCCGAAAGAGCTCGGAGCACAAGGCGGGCGAGCAACGCGGTGTGCGGGGCCCTGCTCCGGGCGGGCGGGTGGGGGCGGCGGCTGCGCGGCGGCCCGAGGAGCCATCGGCTCCACGTCCGCCATGCGGGCCTGCTCGATGGCGTTTGACCTGTAGCTCCCGACGCTCCCGGCGCTCCCGGCGCCCGCGGCGCCCCCGACGCTCCCGACGCTCCTTGCGCCCCTGACGCGCCCGACGCTCCCGACGCGCTCCCGACGCTCCTCACGCTCCTGACGGACGCTCGGAACGCTCCCGACGCTCCCGACGCTCATGACGCTCCCGACGCTCCCAACATGTGAGAGAGCGTGATCCACCGCCGCTCTACTGTGGAAAATTGCCCCCCTCTTCCTCCGGAACCCAGGGGTTCCCCCCCCCCTCCGACCCCCCCCCCCTGCTGGACCCCCCCCCCCCTCCCCTCCCCCGGCAAACCCCCCCCCCCCCCTAACCCTCCCCCCCCCCTCCCCCTCAAAACCGGAGGGGGTCACTACCTGTTCGAACCCCCCCCCTCCCCTCAAAAACCAGAGGGGGGGTCACTACCAGCTCGAACCCCTCCCCACCCCCCCGACTCACCGCCAGCAAACGACTCCTGGTCCCTACCACCGTCCGCGCCACATCCCCCACTGTTGTTCCCAGCACCACTGTCCTCACCACCACTGTCCCCACTGGTTCCACCTCCGTCCCTACTGTCCCCACCAGTGCTCCCACCACTGTCGCACTGTCCGCGCGCCCCCACTCTAACGTTGCCCTTGACCTCTTCGACGATTGGTGGCTTTCGGCCCAGAACTGTGGTCTCACCCCCGGGAACGCTCGCGGCGAGGCGCGGCCGCCAGAAGGTACCCCGAGGCTGAAGCACGCCGGGAACCGACGAGAACGCCCGAACACCTCGAGGCTAGAACACCCGGATCAGGTGTGCAGAATTCCGATCCCCGCGTCTCTCTGGGGGCGCGCCCTGCCCAGGAGCTCCGACGCGGGTCTGGCCATGGCCACGAGGGCGCCCCCAGAGGATCGGAAAAACCTCCAGAGAGCGATCCCCGATCCTCGCACATCGGCCCTCGAGCGTACAGTGGAGGCCAGACTACAAGAAACCTTTCGCAAGAAACCCAAGCCTGAGGTCTAGGACGTCCGTGGACTTTTGGTGTGGGAAGGCCGCGCTCTCCATCGCAAAACCCTCGAAACCCAAGAAGCCCAGGGCACCCTGGAGGCAAGCAGGGTGCGTCTTGGCATGGGCCTCCGCTGTATCTTGAGCAGGGACCGACCGTCCCGGCATTCCTATAGTCCTACCACGAAATGTTTTCTAAACCCCAAAGATGCTCTAAGAACAAAAACGCGATGCTCAGAACATAAACCAGATGTGTGAAAACAAGACAATCTCAACCAGAAAGGTCCTGAGAACATCTCGTGGGAACCACAGGAAGGATCATTAGAGCATTGCTTGGCAGGGCCAGAGGCGAGCCAGGACGCTTCGCCGTCCGGCGCGCGCATGGCTGGGCAGCTCCGAGCACGGCTCCTCCAGACTCTTCCAGACTCTTCCTCCTCCTCCTCCTCCTCCTCCTCCTCCTCCTCCTCCTCCTCCTCCTCCTCCTCCTCCTCCTGCTCGAGTTTCCCCCCCCCCGAGCCCACGCCCCCCCTCGGCGGGGCCCCCGAAGGGGCGCGGGCGGGCCCCGGGGCCCGGAACGCGGGCGGACCCCCCCCCGAGGCCCCGGCAGCTCGTCCACGGAGAGGCAGCCGGCCCCGAGCGCGGCGCGCAGCTCCTCCAGCGCCTTCATCTTTCGGTCCTGCGCCGAGAGGGGCTAATCAGGAGGGTGAGGAGGGGGAGGAGGAGAAGGAGGAGGCGGAGGAGGAGGAGGAGGAGGAGGAGGAGGAGGAGGAGGAGGAGGAGGGGGAGGGGGGGAGGAGGAGGAGGAGGAGGAGGGAGGAGGAGGAGGAGGAGGAGGAGGAGGAGGAGAGAAAGGAGGAGGAGGAGGAGGAGGAGGCCAAGGACGGGGAGGGGGAGGAGGGCGGGAAAAGGAGGAGGAGGAGGAGCGGGGCGCAGAGGGGAAGCCATTTTGTTTCGTTTGACGAAGCAGTCCTCGCGGCCACGCTTGGTTCATATATATCCTCTGGCGTGATGCGGTCGGGTCACAACGAAAACTGTTTGGTTAGTATAGCCTCTGGTGTGATGTGGTCTGGTCACAACGACAACTGCCAACGAACACTGTGATGTATGTGGTCTGATCGCAAAAGGGAACCCAGACATGATCGCGTCGCAAAAACATCATGGCGGGAAATGTTTGGCCATCTTCGGCCCCGGAGGGCCCTCGCTGGGCTTCGGGAGCGTCAAAAAACGACTCGGGATGAGAACCGGTCCCGGGGAAAGGGGCGGACTTCCAGGGACCCCGTCTCGAAAAAAACAAGCCGTCGCATGTCTGGGAATGTACTGGCACGATGCGTCGTGAGAAAACTCGGCAGCCAGCCGGGGAGGGGGAGGAGTGAGAGGGGGCGGGTCCTCTCAGAAGGCTCGGGGGTCCCTTGGCCTTCTGGGAAGTCTTCTCTCCAAGCCTTCCCCGAAGGGGCCAAAAAAACATCTCCGAAGGCGCGACGAGGGTTTCTGAGCGAAGCCCCGCCGCCCTCTGCGAAGGCCCCCTTCCCCTCGCCTCCCCGCTCCCTCGCTCGGTTCCGAAAAACTTGTAATCATCAGCATGTTTGGGTGGCACCGAGCCTGTTGGACAACGACTTGCGCGGACGATGGTTGGCCAGGGGCGTTGGTCGACCTTGAGTGGAACGCGCGCGGCGGCCATGTCGGGGAGACGCGGAAGTGGACGCCACCACCCGCACCAGGACCAAAGCGCAAGGCGTTCAAGGAGCAGAACGAGCTGGCAAAGCGGCAGGGCATGGCATTCGAGAGGGCGGGAATCCCCGCTATCAACCCCGAGGAAGAGCAGGGCAGCGAGCAGGTCCAGGGCAAGGGCAAGATCATGCGCAAGCCAGCCAAGAGCCAGCAGAGCCAGCGCAAGGCTAAGGCCAAGGCCAAGGCCAAGGCCAAAGCCAAGGCCAAATCCAAGCGCAAAGTACGCAGCGGCAACCGAGTAGGGAGAGCTCATTTGCCATTCAATTTTAGCAAGCTGCTAGCATCACGGAAAACCACAAGTTCTCGAGCGCCTGACCCAGGCGGCGGCGAAGCGGATTCCGCCGGGACTCATGGGGGGAATGAGTCGGGGCAATTGCCAGTCAGACCCCCCCCCCTGAGTGCGGACCAGGATATGAATTAAGGAGCCCTCACTGCCAGTGCGGAACACCGTGGCCTGGGAAATGTCTTGAGGATTTCCTCGTGGCCCAGTTGGCCGCGATCACTGCGGCGCGCATTGCGCAAAAATCCACCGCAGCCGTCGTCGTCGTTCGTCGTCGCCGTCGTCGTCACCCAGAAGCGCGCGGCGCTCATTCTCCTCGCCTCCAAGCGCTTGCCGCTCCCACCCACCTCCCCCGCATCCTACCTCACCCAAGCGCGCTGCGCTGCAAAAGCGCGCTGCAATATAAATGGCGAGGGTAGGATGGACGAGGGCAGCTGCAACCGCCCGACCGCCCGACACACTCGATAACACCTCGATAACAGTTCGATAACATTGTTATCGAATGTTATCGGGGTGCTATCGGGGTTCTATCGAGGTGCGATCGGGGCGTTATCGGGCGGTCGCGCTTTCGTTTGTTTAGCGCCCAAGCTGTCGTTGAGCTCCCGCTGCGCCGCCGCTGCGCTGCCGCAGAAGCGCGCGAGCGCCTGCACCACGCGGCCGTCGCATCCGAGGCCGCTGCTGCGCAGCTGTCGCAACAGAGGCCCCGTGGCGGGCGTCGCATCAGAGGCCTTCCGCGAAATGTTGCTGCATGGTTCGGTTAACGACGTCTCTCGAAGCGGCAACGACATTGCACTCGGCCCTGAACTTGTTCGCGATCCCCTCGGCTGCCATCTGACAGCGCTGACACGCCTCGGCCGCTCGGCCCATGCTTCCACGCAGCCCACGCAGCACGTGCATCTCCACCCTGGACGTATTCCTCAGCCCCCGAGCACCGATGACGGGTTGCAGCGCCCCGTCATCTCGGCCGACCTGCAGGCTCGGAACGGAGTTGTTTCTCATTGCCTCGACGGTGCTGGCTATCTCACCGACCGCAGAGGTCAGCCGCTGGATCTGATCGTTCATCCGATCATTATCCGTGATATTGCCCTTGTCCTTGTAGCCATTGCCGAAGCCTTTGCCCTCGCCCTTGTCCTTGTCCTCGCCCCCGCCCCGGACGCCTCGGGGATGGTCGCTGGCCATGCTTCTTGACCTGCGCCGACGTGGGGACCTGGGAGTCTGCTGCCCCGCACGACCTGGGGACCTGCGCCTTGACGGCGGGGGGGGGCTTGGCGGCCTTGGGACAGGGTTGGCCGCGCAGAACCTGATCTCGACTCTGGCGCGACCAAGCTTTCGACTTGCTCCACGAAGCTGCCCTGCATTCATCAGGCCCCGGGCATGCAGCGACCCCCCACCAAGCACGAACGTTCCCAGGGTCATCGTCTTCACGGTTCAACCAAGGATTATCCTCATTCTTCTCGGGGAGAAGATTGGACATGGGGCCTGCTGCCGCGGTCGCCTCGGCCGCCGCTCGAGCGGCGCAAACTTCTGCCCCTGTCGGGCGGGTTGCTTGAAGCCTTCAAACGGCTCAAGCGCAAAGCGCCCCGGGAGGCGCAGTGCAAATCGCTCTGGGCGGCACAAAGTGTTTTGGGCAGGCGGCAATAGATCCGACGGAAAAAAGATGTGGCACATTGCACGCTGGCAACAGCATACATATGCAGCGCGGAGCGCTGCCTGGTCTGAATGGTAGCCAGAGTCAAACGCACCGGCTGTTTCAGCCCCTGCCCCACAAGCGCACTGCGCTGCCGCAAAACTAGGCCACCCCCAAGCGCACTGCGCTGCCGCAAGGCTAGGCCACCCTCTCAAGCGCACTGCGCTGTCCAGCAAGGCCACGGGTCACCCCCACACGCGCTGCGCTCGCTGCACAGCAAGCACTGTCACCACACGCGCTCGCGCTGTCAGTCTCTTTCCGCATGGCGATTTTGGCGCCAGGATCGCAGCGCGCTGCGCTTCGTTACAATGTCAATCGTTCGTCATTTCCATATCGCTTGGCGGATGGCCGACGCCGCTGATCAGCACCCGACTCGACTCGCCGCGAAGGCCGCTGCGCAGAAGCAGACCATCAAGGAGCTGAAGGCCGCGATCAGAAGGCAGGAACGCGCGATCAATCGCATCGCGGACATGGCTGGGGGGCACAGGGCCGCGGGGCGGCAGAGGGCAGAGGCGCGCAAGCGGGAGCGGCAGCGGGCAGAGGCCAGCGCTCCGCAGCAGGAGCGGCAGAGGCACGAGGCGCGGCGGCAGGAGAGCCCGATGAAGAGGGTGGCTGAGCAGAGGCAATGGGCGGAGATGACCTGCAACCGTTTGGCAGCAGAGGCGCGCGAGAGGGGCGAGGCGCCTCCTTTTTCGCAATTGCGGGGCGACCGATGAGCCGATCGTTGTTCCCGACCTCGATCAGGCGATTGCTGCGGGCGGTGGCGGCCGCCAAGGAGATGGCGACCGTCAAGGAGACGGCGACGGCCACACCGACGAGGCGCCCGCTGCTGACAACGGCAAACGTCAAGGACGCGATTTCGATTTGCATCTCCGAGCAGGCCGCCGCGGCGGCGCCGGCGACGACGCGACGTCGACGAGGACGAGGACGACGGCGGCAACGCAAACTCGACGAGGACGGTCACGACAGCGACGACGACGACGACGCTGAATGCTGCAGTTTGAATGTTCTGTATACAGTGCCGTGGCCTCCCGAGCGGACGGCTGTCGGCTGCGTCGCGGCACAGACCTCGCGGCTCCGTCGCGGCTAGGGGCGCCTCGTTGGAGCACGGCGCTAGGCGCTTGAAAAACAGATTTCCTGACGCAGCGCTATGCACATTAAAAGTACAGCGCTATGCGCTTCAAATGCATGGTCTGGAATCTGGAGTGCAGGCGCAGCGCTACGCGCGTAAAATGCATAGTCTGACGTAGCGCTATGCGCTTAATATGTACAGCGCCATGCGCTTCAAATGTATGCTCTGGAATCTGGGGATCGTGCGCAGCGCTATGTGCTTGACATGGTTTGTCTGGAATCTGGGGCAGCGCGACTGCGCAGCGAGCTCGAGTGATCTTTTTCACAGCGGCAACGCGCTAACGGCCCGATTCACGGGCAAGAGCAACGGCCCGATTCGCGGGCAGGAGCGATTATACTATAGTACATCAAGTGGCTGCTCTACTTGTTCTTCCAGCCCTTCCAGCCGCTCGCTTTGGCGCCATGCTCCCCCTCGCAGTTTCTCCACTGCGCTGTCCACTCGGTCTCTCCCATCCGACTGCGCAGGGCCCTCGGCGCGGCCAGCGCCGCTCGGTGCCGCCGCCGCCGCATTGCTGTCCAGCTGGAGCTTTTCCAGGACGGACCCCAGCCTGTCCATGGCGGGCTCCAGCTCCTCCAGCTTCAATCTTCTTCATCAAGACCTGCTCCATCTTCAGCTCCAGCTCGCGCAGTTGCGCCGTCTTCTGCAAGACCTGGCCCCAGCTTCTTCTCCAGCTCGCGCACCAGTTCCGCCTGGGCCCCGACCAGGCCCATCCCAGTCACCAAGGCACGAGCCCTGGGGCCATTCAAAGCCTCGCCCACCTTCTTCAGCACGAGCTCCGTCCTCTCCTCTTTCTGGGTGAATTTGGAGAGTCAGCTCTTCGTCGCTTCACCACTCTGCTCAACCATCGCG